ATACTAAATATACTCTACAATAAGCTGAGTTACTAACAGTAAGTAATACATTACAATTCTAAGTCGTAAAAATATATAATATGCTTCCATCTAAACTTTATTCTCTTACATCACACGAGTCTACACCGTACTATATACTGCCATAGACAAACCCAACATTAAATTACATACTGTATTGCTATAAATCACCCTAAACCTTATACATTGTAATATTGAACTACGTATTATTCTACCCACCCTAATATATATCACACTGCTGTATATTGACTATACAATGATACTATATATTACTTTGTACATTGTATTAAGCATATAAATGTTATACTATTTGTTATTATACACTGTAACATTGACCGTCGTGTGAAAGATACTAAGAAGAAGCAACAAAATATGTCAATGGGTGAGTAGTGCGGGGAAACTTGCAGCGGAGCAAAGAATCCATTCCCTGCAGAGAATACAATGCCAGTGAGTGGAACGCGGTCTGAAAGTCACCGTAAACGTGAACACAATCAGTTAAGATCCGAAATGGTTTATTACGTCCTTCCAATGATTGCTAAGCCAGAATCAATCTTCTCGGTTGAAATTGTCTCTGTGTTTGTATATGTGGATCGCCTCATGAACGAATCTCTCATGGTAGCCAGATGGCTTGCAGAGAACCTCTGTCTTGGAGAAGTCAATATCATGTGAGCCCATTGAATTGTAACAGTGATCTGCCACGGCTGAGGTGTTAGTCCTACCGTGTTTCAAGTCTGCTTTATGTTCACGGATGCGGTCCGAGACATGTCGTTTGGTTTCTCCAATGTAACTGCTACCACAGAGGCAACTTAGTTTGTAGACGCCAGGGTACTGTATGTCTGGAACCACACCTTTTACAGACGGGACCAAATCACAAATTTTATGTACTGTGTTGAATCGGACCTGGATCTTGTGTTTTATCAGGATTTTGGAGAGCTTTTTTGTGACCCCAGCAATGTAGGGTAAGGTGATGGTCTTGAAAGGCTCCTCAACAGGATCCTTCTTGATGGTTGGAGTGATGGCTTTGCGGATTGTGTAGTCGGAGTAACCATTAGCCTTAAGAGCTTGGCGTACGTGTTTAAGTTCACTGGCAATGTGTTCCTGGTCGGATATGCATTGGGCTCTATGGTATAGAGTCTTGATGAGGGAATTCTTCTGGGATGGATGGTGGTGGGAATCCGGTTTTAGGTAAGCATCCGTGAGGGTGGCTTTCCTGTAGACAGAGTGGCTCATTGAACCATCAGGTCTCCTTTTAATTAGGACATCCAAAAAGGGTAGCTTGCCATCTTTTTCGACTTCAATGGTGAATCTGATGGCTGGGTGTATGGAATTGATGTGGTCGAGAAATTGGTCTAGAGCAGGCCGGCCATGTGGCCAGATGACTAAAGTGTCATCTACGTACCTCTTCCATAAGGTCAGGCGTAGAGTGGCAGTCTGAAACCTGCAGCCAGGCCACCAAGATTATACGGCTTGCCAAAGATACATAAAGAAGATACACCTATTCGTCCCATTGTCTCTACCATAAACTCCCCCACTTACAAACTGGCTCGTTTTTTGTCTGAAATCCTACGGCCTTTCACTGGAAAAACCACCTCTGCGGTACTAAACTCTACTGACCTGGTATCGACAATCTAAGGGATTTCCCTGTCCCCAGACGACCTGCTTGTCAGTTTTAATGTGGTTTCCTTATTCACCAAAGTTCCTGTACCTGACACCATCGCAATCATTGAAGACTTGGTTCATCAAGGACTGAACGCTGGGGTACCCCCCCCCCCCTGGTGAGACACTGCTTAACCAATACGTACTTCACCTGGAATGGAACTTTCTACAAGCAAACTGAGGGCACCCCAATGGGCTCCCCCCTATCTCCGGTTGTAGCCAACGTGTTCATGGAGAAATTTGAGACTGACGCCATCCAGACTGTCACTCTACGCCCGACCTTATGGAAGAGGTACGTAGATGACACTTTTGTCATCTGGCCACATGGCCGGCCTGCTCTAGACCAATTTCTCGACCACATCAATTCCATACACCCAGCCATCAGATTCACCATGGAAGTCGAAAAAAAATGGCAAGCTACCCTTTTTGGATGTCCTAATTAAAAGGAGACCTGATGGTTCAATGAGTCACTCTGTCTACAGGAAAGCCACCCATACGGATGCTTACCTAAAACCGGATTCCCACCACCATCCATTCCAGAAGAATTCCCTCATCAAGACTCTATACCATAGAGCCCAATGCATATCCGACCAGGAACACATTGCCAGTGAACTCAAACACGTACGCCAAGCTCTTAAGGCTAATTGTTACTCCGACTACACAATCCGCAAAGCCATCACTCCAACCATCAAGAAGGATCATGTTGAGGAGCCTTTCAAGACCATCACCTTACCCTACATTGCTGGGGTCACAAAAAAGATCTACAAAATCCTGATAAAACACAAGATCCAGGTCCGATTCAACACAGTACATAAAATCCGTGATCTGGTCCCGTCTGTAAAAGATGTGGTTCCAGACATACAGTAAGTACCCTGGCGTCTACAAACTAAGTTGCCTCTGTGGTAGCAGTTACATTGGAGAAAACCAAACGACATGTCTCGGACCGCATCCGTGAACATAAAGCAGACTTGAAACACGGTAGGACTAACACCTCAGCCGTGGCAGATCACTGTTACAATTCAGTGGGCTCACATGATATTGACTTCTCCAAGACAGAGGTTCTCTGCAAGCCATCTGGCTACCATGAGAAATTCATTCATGAGGCGATCCACATATACAAACACAGAGACAATTTCAACCGAGAAAATGGATTCTGGCTTAGCAATCATTGGAAGGACGTAATAAACCATTTCAGATCTTAACTGATTGTGTTCACGTTTACGGTGACTTTTAGACCGCGTTCCACTCACTGGCATTGTATTCTCTGCAGGGAATGGATTCTTTGCACCGCTGCAATTTCGTTGCTTCCTCTTAGTATCTTTCACACGACGGTCAATGTTACAGTGTATAATAACAAATAGTATAACATTTATATGCTTAATACAATGTACAAAGTAATATATAGTATCGTAATTGTATAGTGAATATACAGCAGTGTGATATACATTAGGGTGGGTAGAATAATACATAGTGTAATATTACAATGTATAGTCGACAGTATAGGGTGGTTTATAGCAATACAGTATATAATTAAATGTTGGGTTTGTCTATGTCAGTATATAGTACGGTGTAGACTCGTGTGATGTAAGAGAATAAAGTTTAGATGGAAGCATATTATATATTTTTTACGACGTAGAATTGTAATGTATTACTTACTGTTAGTAACTCAGCTAATTGTAGAGTATATTTAGTATACTGATGATACTATGTAGTTTATACTTTAGTTGTTTATGTGGTGGTTTTAGTTACTGCAGCTACATACTATTAACACTCCTTCCCTTTATTAATGCTACCCCTATCCCCTCCCTTTGATGCTGCTAATCCTGCATAATGCACGGGCATAAGTAGTACTATTCACATACCTGCATTTCCCATATCCCTTCCCTTTGATGTTGCTAATCCTGCATAATGCACGGGCATAAGTAGTACTAATGACATACCTGCATTTCCCATATCCCTTCCCTTTGATGCTGCTAATCCTGCATAATGCACGTGCATGAGTAGTACTAATCACATACCTGCATTTCCCATAAATATGCTAAATGCCTCTTGATATGCATATTCTTTCGTCAAGGCGCTCTTTTCCCCCCTTCCAACCCAGCTTATATATATGCTCCAAGCATGTGTGCTGTTTCATTCAGACGCTGTCGCCTCGACAGACCTGGTTTTTACCTGAGGACGGCTGCTTGCGTTGTGGCCGAAACGTCGTGAGAATTGTTTTATTATGTTTTATTTTTATTATTTTATTACTTCCCTTCTACGTGACTTTACCGAAAGAACCAAGAAGATGACGTTGACCTATTTACGGCAACTATATTTTTTCTAAATGTAAATGTTAAATGTATAATTAAATACACAACATATTCCGTCAATGATGATATTGTGCAGAATTACATACGATTACAAATAAAAAAATGTATATTCAATGTTACTTTATTGTCCATACTTACTTTATTGCTTAGTAGATAATTATTCATCATGAAACTGGCCTCGAAGGTAACATATAATAGGCAACCCTTTGGGCAATGGCCCTTTATCTATCTGGAATGCAGAAGGACCATTCCCTAAGATGCCACCTAATATATTGTTTTTTCCTCATAAGGCAGTGTTTTTGATGAATGTGTTGAGTTTGTTACGTGTCCTTTTGCACCACTGCCAACATAGTATATCCAAATAAGACCAAATCATAAATATGCTACCTTTCACAAAAAATTACAATCTTCATATTCATTTTTTCAAACCCTAACTCTGTCTTTTCCAGGTCTTCCTTGCAATTTAACACGTAGGCATTCGTGACCAATATCATCTATAATCGAGGTTTTTTGGGTTAGATCGGGTAAATATATAAATGTGTCGTTAAAACCCGCCACCACCCAACACAGCTAACTAGTAAAGGTTGTCAGGTAAACAGAACATGCCAATTTGTCACTAGTACAGCACACCGGTGTATTGGAGAGCCAAGCCACAACATTCACAATGCGAGTACGACATTTCGCCAGTAATTACAACTAGGCGACAGCCAGATTTGTGGAGAAGCCTAACTGTTTCGTTCCTTATACAGAGGCGTAGATGTGGTGATCACACTTCTGCGCTCTTACGCAAAGGGGGAGGGGGATTACCGAGTCAACGTACATTATGCATGTGCATTATGCGAGCCCTTAGATCTTGTCCTTCCTGTCTATTGTGTATATTAAAATAGCCGTATCAACGGCAATCCATATTGAAGTATGCTGCACTTCCTTGCAAATCCGACATGCTATCGCAGCTATCACGCAACTGCCTTCAACAAAAAAAACCCTTAAAATATCAATTATGAATTGTGTCACTTTCAATCAACTCTGTAGAGGAATGTTCCCCAGGTAGTATCGTTACCTGTGTGGAGGCATATCCTCCCAGGTGGTTCCTCTGCTGACTCAGCCAATTCATGATAGGGACCGCCTCTGCAATTTTGTTCTGATGAAGATGAGCCAGGAGGGCGTATGCTGTGGTCTCAATGGTGATGGCCGACGGCTGCCAGTAGTAGGACTCTTGATTTGATGCAGAGTCTGACCAGAACTTCAGCCCATTCTCTGGAATATAATGTACAAGTTAACGCTTTTATTTAATTTAGTATTTTACTCAAAACTCAGCTTGTCACCCTGACTCTGATGATGAGACGCATATGTCAAAACCAGCCCAAAGTTTGCTTGTCTTGATTCAATTCTGTTGAAATTATGCACTCCCAGAAGGTTATGCGGCTGATGGGTTGTGTAAGAAATTATTTGATTGTTTTATATGGAGAGACAGAAATGTGAAGGAGACAATATTATCAGGTTAACAGAAATAAGTCATTGGAATATTTTCAAAAGTTAAGCATAACACCCTATTGGGAACACACTCTAGTCGTGAGTTGACAGGTCCTCTATGACGTGCAACTAAAATATCACCCATTCAGAAGTTGTGGGTTCAGTGGGCACGTGTTGCATTAGTGCCTGACCTATTGAAGTGGAGCGGCTGTTGAGTAGGGTCAGGGCAGTATCGGCGTGGCTGCTGTTGGCGAGGGAGAGGGCGTACGCTGTGAGGGCCAAGGGCAGGCTGGCTGCCACGCCGCCACCACTCACATTCGCCTCCAGGAAGTGGATAGCACTTGAGATGTTCACATTGTTATTCTGTAATCCACATGCACCAGAATTATCATTTTGGGATAATCTAAGCAAAGCACCTTTAACCAATGTGTTCAGGTCAACCACTCTAATATACAGATCCCTAACAATGCATGCTAATCACCACTGCAGGATATTCAATAATTAATCTTACATTGTCATTGTGTTATTTGATCTCACCAAAACCCTATGCAGTCTCATGCAAAAGAAAAATGTAATGTGTAAGTTTTATGATCAGTATTAACTGCACTAAATAAACAAGAAAACAGAAACAGGATACATGCGTTAGCACAATTAGTATAAACGAATGGATCTGGAGGAACCCCGAGTTATGATCTAAGATGGGAAAGAGAAACAGAGGGAAGAAAAATAAAAACATGAATGAGAAGAGGGAGAGAAGGAGGAGGAAGAGAAAGTGAAACACTTGAGTCTTTAAGAAGAGTGCCGTTGGCACCTGCTCAAGGTAGCACTATCTAGGGGATAGAAATATTAAAGTGACCCTCGAGGCATTGAAGTCAAAAGTAAAATCAGGAACACTACCTTCTGAACAATGAAACATCCACAGAAGGGGTCCCAATTTCACCCCTCGCCTCCCACCTCATCCACAAGCCCTAATAACTGCATGTAATAACTTACACAACGTATAACCTGCCTATGCAAAGTAAAATTACAAAGACAGCCCGAGCAAGAATTATACAATATTTGGAAATAACTGAATATATATTAAATAACAGCTACTTTATTGTCACACGTTTGACCGCATAGCCAGATATCAGTGAAATCAAGTCGCATTTAACGATTTTGGGTAGAAAAAAGTTTGCCTCATAAGTAAAATTGTACAAATCAAACCCACATAAAGCGAGGTAAGCATGTACTGTTCAACCGCCATACTGCAGGTTAAAACGCTTATCTTTCCACTTAGTTGCTTGAACTGCTCCACTTTGGAATACCGTCCCATTGGCCTACGACACAGTCTGGATTAAAAGCATGATGATGAAGCTTGCAAGGATCATCCACTGTTTCAAAACACTTTGCTTGCTATGGATGATGCTGAGTAATTGACAGGTACATGTCCCTTTTGGTGACAATGGCAGTTCACCCCAGTCCCTCAACAATGGACTGCAACAAGGCTAAATGCTCACAAATGCTCACCAATGTCTTCATGAGTGTGTCACCAAAAAAGTTACACAAATTTGCATACGTAGATGACCTTGCCCTGGTAAAATAAGCAGCCACCTTGAATGACATCAAGTCCACCTTGAATGGGGACCTAAACACCATGGAGGGATATTTCTGGAAATGGAGGCTCAAACCAAACCTGCACAAATCAACAGTCACTACCTTTCATCTTGTGAACAGAAATGCTAAGCGCACCCTGAAAGTGTCTTTTTCTGGCAAAACTGTATACCATTACCCAATTCTGAACTATATAGAAATAAAGTTGCACCACAGGATAATCTTTGATGGCCAACTGAAAAAGATAGCCGCTAAAAAGAAGACAAAGGTCAACCTCGTCCAGAAATTGCCAAGCACAAGCTGGGGAGCATCGGCATCAGGGTTTCATACAGCAGTGATGATGCTTGTGTACTCCTTAGCAGTATACGGTACACCGGGATGAACCAGAAATAGCCAGGCTTGACTTGTTGATGTCCATCTGAATACTGGAATCCTCAAGATGGCCACAACACCCTGACATTTTCCACGTTTTTGCAAATTGCTCACAGATCCATTCACTGCGATGCTGCAACCCTCAGGGAAAAGTGAAGATAATCATGGAAAAAGTACGTCTCCCCTTCCACCAGGATCTCAATAACGTCCCTTACGACCGCGTCAAGTTATGCAAGCATTTTGGACCCATGTGCCTAACCTTCAGAAATGCAATTTCAACCCTGATGATGCTAGGAAAGCTGAATGGAGTTCACAATAAAACAAACAAATACCTCATGAAAGACCTGATGCAGAAATTCCCTGGCTTTAATATTCCATGAAGCATATGGGATACCCAGAACCACATCCATACCAGCTATGGCAGATGCGGTGACTTGATACACAAATATAAAATTTTAACTTCTCCAGTGTGCGACTATGGTCAACCAGAACAGACCATGGAACGTATAACGGACTCAGTGCCCGATTCACAAATAAGGAGGTATCATAGTCAAACATTATACTACTCCTGATGCAATTATCTGGGTCAACCACCTTTATGTAAAATGATTTGTTGCTCTATATCTACATCAGCCATACAATGAAGACGAGATTTATCTTTGTCTCAACCAAATATTCCCATACTTTGATTGTGCATCATCTGCCTACCGTACTGTCCTCCAGGAAGGCGAGGAGAGTGTAGGCTGTCAGGCTGATGTGGCTGGCAGAGCCGCCCTGCAGCTCCCTGTGAATCACGTAGCCATGCTCCGTGAACTGACCAGATGGTGCCAAAGAGTTCAGCAGAAAGTTGCGAGCAGTGTCGATCACATTGCTGTCCACAGGGATATAACTCCGTGCCTGCAGGAAAGTCCTCAGCACGAACGCTGTCAGCCTAAGGATTTGGAAAGAGAGCGCAGGACACATGCAAACAGCTGTGAAAACTTCCGCACATCTGTGAAAAAAAGCTTTACAGCTCATCGGGTTCCTCCAGTATAAATAAAGCCTTATTCTGAGAAAAAGACAACATTGAAAAATACCACTTGGGACAATAGCCCAAGAAAACATGTCATACCCTCAGAGGGTAGTCAGTATTTGCCCTCATCCCATATTTTAAGTTAAAGTTTTTGAGTTTATTTTCATTTTTTATGAGGATGATCCCATTTAGCTAGTTGCCTGGCTGTTTTATAAGGCGCATCCGTGGTGTGTGAACAGAGTAACAACAAAGAAAAACAAATACATTAATTTTGGAGAGAACGACTACAGGGTTCTTCGGGAATATTGCACAACTAATAAACAAGATGTTTGACGTTCATATGTGTGCTGTGTACACACTTAGGAGAAAGATTCACATTCTGCCCATCGTGGCATTCATGACTACTGTCCGGTATATTTGCTTGGAATTATCAGATAAGAACAGTTTTTTTTAGAAAGTGCCAACCAAAAACAAGTTTACACATGTGTCTGATAATAATTATCATTCGGTGCAGGTTATTGCACATCACCTAAAGGCTATGTCTAGAACGATCTGTGAATGTACCATTGGGGTACAACACCCATTACAGATTTGTACCTGAGAGATGTGAATAAGAGGATGATGTTACTTTTAGCTATGTTTGTGATACTCTCACGTGTATTTCAGCTAAGACTGTAACCAGGAATGGTTTTCTTAAAATGTATTCTATCTACGAGACTTTACCAAAAGACCCAAAGAATATGTATTCCTGTTTCACGTTTCTGTTAACAGAGTTTGCAGCATACATGATGTGGCTGCCAAGATTTAGTATCAAGACCGTGTACAGAAACATGGGTCGATTATATGAATGTGTAATAAACAGTTTAAAAAATAAGTGGTTTCAATTGTAGTACTGCATCCAAACATTGGAAAAAATAAGCCTTCAACCATTGTATTTTGTTGGTCATCTAACTTACGTAACACAAATTAATTTTTTTCAGTTTATATAACTGTTCAATGTATTGCAATGTTTAAGATTACACAACAGAAAAGGGAAAATATTAAAAACAAAATGACAAGTAAAACAACTTTAATGAAAGCATAAAATACAGAATATTTTTTAAACTTCATTTAATTAAACCAGTTGAGAATGAAAAATAAAGTAAAACTGAAAGACCACTGTATTAGTTTCTTAGCTGTAGGCTATTACCATGTACTGCCTTGTTGATCATAGTTTCCAAATGCACTGAAGGAGCCATCACTTCTCCTGTACGTGAGCTCTCGTTCATAGCCTGAATAAACACAACGGCATGCTTAGCTTGTTACTACAAAATTAAAATAAATACACAGTTACGGAATATAATTGCCGTGTTAAACTCAATGCTGGAAACCAACACGAAGACAGCACTAAATGTAGCATCTCTGTTAAATAGTACTTTATGTTAATTGCATAGACCCCATTTTAATATACCAAGGAACTTGAAAACTAGGTAACTGAATTATTATTTAATCTTTATTATTATGCTAAACATACCTTCCACATTTCGATTTAAAGCTTTCGTGACTGCAGGGATTCATCTTCTTGGTTCTTTCGGTAAAGTCACGTAGAAGGGAGGTAATAAAATAATAAAAATAAAACATAATAAAATAATTCTCACGACGTTTTGGCCACAACGCAAGCAGCCGTCATCAGGTGAAAACCAGGTCTGTCGAGGCGACAGCGTCTGAATGAAACAGCACCATGCTTGAAGCATATATTTAAGCTGGGTTGGAAGGGGGGGAAAGGGCGCCTTGACAAAATAATTTGCATATCAAGAGGAATTTAGCATATTTATGGGAAATGCAGGTATGTGATTAGTACTACTTATGCCCGTGCATTATGCAGGATTAGCAGCATCAAAGGGAGGGGATATTGGAAATGCAGGTATGTGATTAGTACTACTTATGCCCGTGCATTATGCAGGATTAGCAGCATCAAAGGGAGGGGATATGGGAAATGCAGGTATGTGATTAGTACTACTTATGCCCGTGCATTATGCAGGATTAGCAGCATCAAAGGGAGGGGATAGGGGTAGCATTAATAAAGGGAAGGAGTGTTAATAGTATGTAGCTGCAGTAACTAAAACCACCACGTAAACAACTAAAGTATAAACTACATAGTATCATCAGTATACTAAATATACTCTACAATAAGCTGAGTTACTAACAGTAAGTAATACATTACAATTCTACGTCGTAAAAAATATAATATGCTTCCATCTAAGCTTTATTCTCTTACATCACACGAGTCTACACCATACTATATACTGCCATAGACAAACCCAACATTAAATTATATACTGTATTGCTATAAACCACCCTATCTAACCTATATAATTCATTTTTTGTCTGTCTGTATGTCTGTCCGTCTGTCCGTCTGCGTACGCTCGCTTCCGGGGGAATTAGATCTCAGACCATGGGGTTCGCCGAGATTAAATTTTGCAGGTGGGCACGCCCCCGGCCCCGCGGTAAACTTAGGCATTTCCGATTTTTCGTCTCTAAACTTTAAATCGGACCGATTATCGATTTAGTGCGCATGCGCGAAGGCGGTTGCCCCTGGCAACGGGCGGTTGGCCCCTGGCAACGGGCGGTTGGCCCCTGGCAACGGGCAGCAACGCTGTCGCTGCGCAGTGGACGCCATTTTTAATTCCCGTTAAAAATATGCGCACGCATTAACACGCGACACTGAGGTAAATTCATCAAAGTTTAACGTCCTCTTAACTCCCCCCCCACCCCAATGTGTGCAATTACTATCATAGCGATTAGACAGTATTATTGTAGCGCGGGGGGGGGGGGGGGAACGACCACAGCACCCAGCCTCGGCCGGGTGGGAAATCTAGGCGAGGCCGGAGGCTCTGCACGGTACTAGGCCTCGACACCCCACACGTCTCAGGCGACGACTTTGTGGTATAAACTCGATATACCCAGCGTTGCCCGGGGGAAAAATACATTTAAAATCTTCTGAAAACTTTAAAACATAACATACCAATGAAAATACAACTGTGTAATTTAAAATGTAAAACCGACCGCGCCAAGAATCGATTCTCTGAATCGCGCAAAAAAATTGAAGGTTGTAGATTCATTTAGAATCGCCCTGTTCCCGTTTAATATAAGTTGGTTATAGAGTTGATATAAACTGCTACGAATGGGAAATATCCGGCGTTGACCGGGGCAAAAATATTATAAAAAACTCCTGAAAACTTTAAAACATAACATACCAATGAAAATAAAACTCTGTAATTAAAAATGGAAACCTCCTACGCGCCAGGAATCGATTCTTTGAATCGCGCAAAGGAATCATCGAAGGTTGTAGATTCCTTTAGATTCGCCCTATTCCCGTTTAATATACTTACGTGTCGCCACGTTTGCTTAACATTTCCGACACACACATTCACACATTTAGCTTTTACATTTAACATACAAAACGTCAGCATGTACTGCTGTCATCATAGGCAAAACATTTATACACCCTCAACACTATCCCTCACCACTCTCCCTCACTCATCATCACCACTCACCCTCACCACTCACTATCACTCACTATCACTCACCACTCACTATCACTGACCACTCACCACTCACACTCATCCTCACCACTTACCTTCACAACTCACCCTCACCACTATTCCTCACTACTTACCCTCACCACTCTCCCTCACCAATCACCAATCACCCTCAAGCATACTTGGCGACACGTACGTTTTTAAAACGGGAATAGGGTGAGTGGTGGTGGTGAGGGAGAGTGGTGAGGGAGAGTGGTGAGGGTGAATGGTGAGGGTGAGTGGTGAGGGTGAGTGGTAAGTGGTGAGGGTGAGTGGTGAGGGTGAGTGGTGAGGGGAGGGTGAGCGGCGGTTGTTAGTGGTGATTAGTGAGGGGTGAGTGGTGAGGGTGAGCGTGAGTGGGGAGGGTGAGGTTGAGTGGTGAGCAGTGAGGGTGAGCAGTGAGGGTGAGTGGTGATTGGTGAGGGTGTGATTGGTGAGGATGAGTGGTGAGGGTGAGTAGTGAGGGTGAGTGGTTGTTGTGAGGGTGAGTGGTTGTTGTGAGGGTGAGTGGTGAGGGTGAGTGGTGATTGTTGAGGGTGTGATTGGTGAGGATGAGTGGTGAGTAGTGAGGGTGAGTGGTGAGGGTGAGTGGTGAGGGTGAGTGGCGGTTGGTGATTGGTGTGATTGGTGAGGATGAGTGGTGAGTGGTCAGGGTGAGTGGTGAGGGTGAGCGGTGAGGGTGAGTGTGAGTGGTGAGGGTGAGCAGTGAGGATGAGCAGTGAGGGTGAGTGGTGATTGGTGATTGGTGAGGGTGTGATTGGTGAGGATGAGTGGTGAGTGGTCAGAGTGAGTGGTGAGGGTGAGTAGTGAGCGGTGAGGGTGAGTGGTGAGGGTGAGTGGTGAGCGTGACTGGTGAGCGTGACTGGTGAGTGGTGAGGGTGAGTGGTGAGGGAGAGTGGTGAGGGAGAGTGGTGAGGGAGAGTGGTGAGGGTGAATGGTGAGGGTGAGTGGCGAGGGTGAATGGTGAGGGTGAGTGGTGAGGGTGAGTAGTGAGTGGTGAGGGTGAGTGGTGAGGGTGATTGGTGAGGGTGAGTGGTGAGGGTGAGTGGCAATTAGTGTGGGGTGAGTGGTGAGTGTGAGCGTGAGTGGTGAGGGTGAGGTTGAGTGGTGAGCGGTGAGGGTGAGCAGTGAGGGTGAGTGGTGATTGGTGAGGGTGTGATTGGTGAGGATGAGTGGTGAGGGTGAGTAGTGAGGGTGAGTGGTTGTTGTGAGGGTGAGTGGTGAGGGTGAGTGATGAGGGTGAGAGGTAAGAGTGAGTGGTGAGGGTGAGTGACGGTTGTGAGAGGTGATTAGTGAGTGGTGAGGGTGAGTGGTGAGGGTTAGTGGTGAGCATGAGTGGTGAGGGTGAGTGTTGAGCGTGAGTGGTGAGGGTGAGTGGTGATTGTTGAGGGTGTGATTGGTGAGGATGAGTGGTGAGTAGTGAGGGTGAGTGGTGAAGGTGAGTGGCGGTTGTGAGTGGTGATTAGTGAGGGGTGAGTGGTGAGGGTGAGCAGTGAGGGTGAGCAGTGAGGGTTAGTGGTGATTGGTGAGGGTGTGATTGGTAAGGATGAGTGGTGAGTGGTCAGGGTGAGTGGGGAGGGTGAGTGGTGAGGGTGAGCAGTGAGGGTGAGTGGTGAGTAGTGAGGGTGAGTGGTGAGCGTGACTGGTGAGTGGTGAGGGAGAGTGGTGAGGGAGAGTGGTGAGGGTGAATGGTGAGGGTGAGTGGTGAGGGTGAGTGGCAAGTGGTGAGGGTGAGTGGTGATTGGTGAGGGTGTGATTGGTGAGGATGAGTGGTGAGTGGTGAGGGTGAGTGGTTGTTGTGAGGGTGAGTGGTGAGTGGTGAGGGTGAGTGGTGATTGTTGAGGGTGTGATTGGTGAGGATGAGTGGTGAGTAGTGAGGGTGAGTGGTTAGGGTGAGTGGCGGTTATGAGTGGTGATTAGTGAGGGGTGAGTGGTGAGAGTGAGCGTGAGTGGTGAGTGGTGAGTGTGAGCAGTGCGGGTGAGTGGTGATTGGTGAGGGTGTGATTGGTGAAGATGAGTGGTGAGTGGTCAGGGTGAGTGGTGAGGGTGAGTGGTGAGCGGTGAGGGTGAGTGGTTGTTGTGAGGGTGAGTGGTGAGGATGAGTGGTGAGGGTGAGTGCTGAGTGGTGAGGGTGAGTGGTGAGAGAGTGGTTAGTTTTGAGGGCGAGTGGTGAGGTTGAGTGGTGAGGGTTAGTGGAGAGTGGTGAGTGGTGATTGGTCAGTGGTGATTGGTGAGGATGAATGGTGAGTAGTGAGGGTGAGGTTGAGTGGTGAGGGTGAGTGGTGGTTGTGACGGTGAGTGGTGAGGGTGAGTGGTGAGGCTGAATGGTGAGGGTGAATGGTGAGAGTGGTGAGTGGTGAGGGAGAGTGGTGAGGGAGAGTGGTGAGGGTTAGTGGTGAGGGTTAGTGGTGAGAGTGAGTGGTGAGGGTGAGTGGTGAGGGTGAGTGGTGAAGCTGAGTGGTGAGGGTGAGTGGTGAGGGAGATTGGTGAGGGAGATTGGTGAGTGGTGAGTTGTGAGGGTGAATGGTGAATAGTGAGTGGGAGTGGTGAGTGGTGAGGATGAGTGGTAAGGGTGAGTTGTGAGTGGTGAATGGTGAGGGTGAATGATGAGTACAGTCAATATGCACTGCTGTTATCATACCAGGTACCACCACCACAATATGTACTCCTCTCATCATAGCAGATACCACCACAGCAGTATGCACTGCTGTAATCATAGCAGGTACCAACACAGCAGTATGCACTGCTGTAATCATAGCAGGTACCACCAGTCAGTATGCACTGCTGTAGTGATAGCAGGTACCACCTCAGTCGGTATACACTGCTGTAGTGATAGTAGATACTGCTATCGAGTTGGTAGATACCGCTATAGTAAATACTAAAACAGTCAGTATATACCACTACAGTCAGTCAATACTGCTACAGTCAGTATATACTACTATACAGTCAGTACATACTACCATGGTGAGTAGCTACTAGAGTCAGTAGATACTATTATAGTGAGTAGATACTGCTATAGATTTTGTAGTTACTACTATAGTCAGTGGATACAACTATAGAGTCAGCAGATACTATACAGTTAGTCGTTACGAGTATATAGTCGGTAGATACTACTGTAGGCCCAGTAAATACTACTATGGTTAGTAGTTATTACAGTCACTAAATACTACTACACAGTCAGTAGCTACTGGCTCAGTAGATACTACGGTACAGTCAGTAGATACTACTACAGAGTCAATAGATACCACTTCCTCTGTTGTATGTAAGGTGTTGTTAGTATATATACCTACGAGGGGTAAAGATATTTTTTGAGGGGGGGGGGGGGGAGACCACAATTTTCGGAAACCTTTTGACATCAACTATTTACCCCACACTTTCTACAATTTTTTGGACTTGTGAAAGCCGCTTATATATTTGTTGGTGGAGAAATGTACAAACAGCCCACCGGGCTTTGACAAGACCTTAGTATCTGTGTATATATATGTAAGGTTTTTAAGAAATATATTTTTCACCCGGGCAAAGCCGAGTACTTCCGCTAGTACCTTATACATTGTAATATTGCACTATGTATTATTCTACCCACCCTAATGTATATCACACTGCTGTATATTGACTATACAATTACGATACTATATATTACTTTGTACATTGTATTAAGCATATAAATGTTATACTATTTGTTATTATACACTGTACCATTGACCGTCGTGTGAAAGATACTAAGAGGAAGCAACGAAATATGTCAATGGGAGAGTAGTGAGGGAAACTTGCAGCGCAGCAAAGAATCCATTCCCTGTGGAGAATACAATGACAGTGAGTGAAAGTCACCGTAAACGTGAACACAATCAGTTAAGATTGTGTTTACGTTTACGGTGACTTTCAGACCCCGTTCCACTCACTGGCATTGTATTCTCCGCAGGGAATGGATTCTTTGCTCCGCTGCAAGTTTCCTTACACTACTCTCCCATTAACATATTTCGTTGCTTCCTCTTAGTATCTTTCACACGACGGCCAATGGTACAGTGTATAATAACAAATAGTATAAAATGTATATGCTTAATACAATGTACAAAGTAATATATAATATCGTAATTGTATAATATTACAATGTATAGCAATACAGTATGTAATTTTATGTTGGGTTTGTCTATGGCAGTATATAGTACAGTGTAGACTCGTGTGATGTAAGAGAATAAAGCTTAGATGGAAGCATATTATATTTTTTACGACGTAGAATTGTAATGTATTACTTACTGTTAGTAACTCAGCTTATTGTAGAGTATATTTAGTATACTGATGATACTATGTAGTTTATACTTTAGTTGTTTACGTGGTGGTTTTAGTTACTGCAGCTACATACTATTAACACTCCTTCCCTTTATTAATGCTACCCCTATCCCCTCCCTTTGATGCTGCTAATCCTGCATAATGCACGGGCATAAGTAGTACTAATCACATACCTGCATTTCCCATATCCCCTCCCTTTGATGCTGCTAATCCTGCATAATGCACGGGCATAAGTAGTACTAATCACATACCTGCATTTCCCATAAATATGCTAAATTCCTCTTGATATGCAAATTAGTTTGTCAAGGCACCCTTTCCCCCCCCTTCTAACCCAGCTTAAATATATGCTCCGAGCATGGTGCGGTTTCATTCAGATGCTGTCGCCTCGACAGACCTGGTTTTCACCTGAGGATGGCTGCTTGCGTTGTGGCCGAAACGTCGTGAGAATTATTTTATTATGCTTTATTTTTATTATTTTATTACTTCCCTTCTACGTGACTTTACCTAAAGAACCAAGAAGATACCTTCCACAATTTACGATTTACGCAAATCGGATGTACATTATATGCCAGTGTTTCTTTAGGTTAACAGGAGAAACAATTCAGTACAAACTTGAACCTATAACCTATGTAACACAAATAGGAGTCATATTCATCATGAGCTATGTTTAATCCACTGCTGAATGAAAGCCTCCCCATACCATCACCATCCCGCATTGTCCCATGATGGTACCATCCATCTCACTCCTGCCCATGCGCTGTCCTCATTGCCCAACCTCTGTTGCGATCTCGCGCATGTTCTCTAATCGATAATCTCCCTTCACGAGACTTAAACCCAAGGCTCCTGAGAAAAGACGTGAGCTCTTTCCTGGATTCTTTTTCTGAAAGTGTTTATTTTCCTGCTCTTAACCTGTGTGATACTTTTACAATAGTTCTTGATTTCCCCACTATGAAGAAGAGCCATTGTCCAAACGGTTGCCTATATTTGTTTATTTTTATGGGAGTGTTTTTGATTAATGAGATTTTATAAGATAATAGGTTGATGCATATATTATCAGAGTATGTTTTTGTTTGCATTCTGACCACAAGTGTTGTGGTTAATGCAGACATCATTCCTTGTAAAAGGTTTCAGTTTGGTGTTTTAACATCTTAACACCTGTTTTGTTGCCAGAAAAAAAGGGGAAAACCTATTCTGGCAAAGGAGGTCCCATGATGAGATTTTGTAATTTGAAGAATTAGAGAATGATTAACCTCCTGTCATATTTATCAAAAGTTTATAAAGATGATAGACAACCAAACAATATACAATCTAGACACTATTTGTGCTAATGAACCACTGCCAAGATAGCATCAATGAAAACTTGAACTCTTCAAGTTAGGTTTGTCTCACTTGTTTAATAGGACAATAATTGAGGCATAATTCTAGATTGAGGTATTTATTTTGTATAAAGATTTAATAATATCATTGATTCTGCTTTTCTTTTATAATGTCCATGGCTATTCCATCTGGTTCGTGAATTTTCCTATTGTCATACAAAAAGCAATAGTTGTTACCCTTCAAGGGTGAAAATAAATCACAGAAAAGCTTCCGAGCCACAATGGCACTGCTTCGAAAAACTACCAACAGCTACACAACTGAAACTCAACTGAAACAAAATGACCAAGGGTATAAAAATGCATTGTCACCGAACATCTCACCGCTGGCACATAGAATGATGGGTGAACCTGAATTTTTTTAATCACCTTCGAACGGGATTCAGCAGTTCACAAGTCAATTTGCGGAAGTGGGGATACTGGAATGACGAGCAACAGAATATCTGCTATACAACAGCCTACTAATAACAATTCCAACATGTTACATTACCTGAATTCATGTAATTCAAGGATTTAACAGCGATATCTGGCGTTGTCTGGTGGGACACGTCCAGATACATCCGGATGTAGATTCCCGGTGCAAAGTTGATCATGTTCTGCTCCCCGCAGCCGTACGGCATCTGAATGAGCTGGTCCAGCCCAGTGAGGGAGGGCCCAATGATGTCTCCTGCACGTTTCACACAAGCGCATGTCAAGGCCACTGCTTAAAGCCCCAGTCGTGCTTTAGTACTCTACAAATAACTTGTTCATCCATAAACCATCTGAGTATTCCCGGGAATTGTTATTGGAGCTCATTACCTGATGTGGTGGTTGGTGGAGCACTGAGCAGTAGCTACTGAATACTTGTGGATGCCATTGACTTACTTGTGGCTGGCTCATCTGCACCTAATTCATATAAATCGACCTATCTAGCTGATGTTTTGCACGTAATCACACTTTTTATTCAGACGTGGTCATATGCTGCTACCAGATGGCTCAATTTTCATTATGTGTTTGCTAACAACAAATAACACAATTTTAAAAGTTAACGCATACATATTCCATTTAAAGTTCTTTATTACATGGAAAAGCAATTTCCCATTATTTATCCAACTATGGCAATACTCAGAAAAATCTTGTAGTCAGCCCTGATGTAAAATCATATATAAGCAAAAACACCAATAATAGCAATCTGGATATATCTGTGAGAATGAATCGGCATGGTGCCCAATGGACATGTACCGTAGATGTAAAGGACGGCTGAACTGCTTCCTTGTACAATGTTGGGTGGGAAATTGAACACAAATGATCTTGTGAAATTTGTATTATCATAAAGGCTGAGGAGGGCACTCTCCGAGTACGTTTGTGGGAAGCCTGGGTACTGCATGATGGGAAAAAACACGACACAAAAGATTACAGCACTTGTCAGACACTGAGACAGAAAATTCGTCAACAACACGGCCTTAAAATAAATAACTAATATGCTACATTTAGGCAACAGCCCTTGTTCACAGCACATATAAAAGGAGGCCAGAGAGATAACACGGATTGCAGACTGCACTTTACACCATAGGACCTAATGATAATACACAAAAATCTGATGCGCAGTTTTAAACAGGCAGATTAATAGTTACCGAATAATATACATTAAGTACGGGACAAACCCTACAATTTTAAAAATGTATTACGCTATAAACTAGTTTATGTTCAAATTATAAAATGTTGCTGTCACCTTGCATTGGTGGAAGGTTTGTTCTTGTGTGAACAAGGCACAATCCTTCCAGAAATACATTCCTGGGCCCAATCACCATTTCAATAAAATAATAATAAAAATAATTAAATAATGCTGGTAACCTACATTCCTGAGATAGAGAAGTCTGATCAAATTAATGTGAGGTACACCCATGAAACAAAAATTTCTGACAGAAGATGTTGCATGAAACTATCGAGGCATTTAGCCATTTCTCGAATGTAGTTGAGGCCACAGTGTTTGCGTGCGATGTAATGAACCAAATTTGTGTAAGTAAACTTATTGTGAATCACAAATGGTGCTCCGGGTGTATTTGCGGATTGGTTATGTGAACATACATGTGTTGCAAATTCTCTGATTGGATGGGAAGATCCCTAGTATGCTATTATTTCTAGTGTTTCGCATTAAGTTGTGAAATAGCAGGTACCTGATATTTGTGTTTTTAGAAATAAATAAAAGGGCAGCGATCCGATCTTGGAACCCCAGTAACAGGTTTGCATGTTGCTGAGGATATTTGTGAGATCTTGGAGGAGGGGAAACCCCTCATCTCAAGATAACTTGGGGCAAAGTAGAGTTTACCTTAATGGGGCTACCATGCCTCGGATATTGGAGGAAGTAGGTGCTCCCTGCGAGTGGCTGGCTAATGTGCCATCTATTGAGGAAGTGTGAAGGGAAATACAGAACCTAAGTCCAGATAAAGTGCTGGGCAGCGCTTACGTCCCAAGAGAACGGTTGAGGGTGGGTGGCAATTGTGTGTTGACATAATCACAGCTAACTGGACCATAAGACTGATACCACAGATTGGAAGGACGTAGATCCTCTTTTAATAAGGGGGGCCATAAAAATTCTAACAACTCCCTCCTTGGTGTGACTGCTCAATGTAACTTTCATTCTTTTATATTTGGTTACTGTTTTTATATGCATGGTTGCTTATGAAATTTCAACAATCATGATTTGTTTATGAAGTATTCACAGAAATTCTGCAAATTATTACTAAATGGAAGAGCTGAACTCCCACATGAAACGAAGTGGAATGAGACATTATTCCCTTTCAGTGCTCCCTTCACAAGCCATGCCTTCATGGCATGATTAACACAACCCAATTTTCAATCACTGCAGACAGCACGTGGCCCCATTGCAGCTGTATGTGAGAACATGCACGCACACTAGCACACACTTACCTTGACCAATGTGTATCCCACCACTGTGTAATCCACATTTTGGTAGGAGACAACTACAGCGAAGGAAACTTTGCCGTCAACATTCAGAGAAACCGGGAAGAAGGCAGTGGCAGAATTCTGACCGGACACATTCAAGCTTCGTTCATTGGGGGAGAGACCGTTGCTTTGGAACAGAATCGTGAAGTTTTCATTCTCCATCAGTTTTGCAAGGACCTAGAAATCAATAGGTAAATACATAATGGGAGGAATAACGTCAGGATCAGATTAAAATGATTCTCACAATAAAACATCTAAATTATTAAAACCAATTAAAGATTAACGTAAGCCCTGCAATTGCTTGTGCACACCACTGCTGGCAGAAAGGCCTCCTCTGGAGAAAGCGCTATCGGGCCCCTCTGGAGAGCACAGTTGATAATCGATTATCCAGTTTCCAACATTATCTGGCTGTCCCACGGCCGATCCGGCGAAACCGGCAAAACCGCTCTAAAGGCCGTAGCCAGTCCGGTGATCGGCACCATGTGCGTGACAAAAAAAAGTAGCCCTGCTTGATTTCAGTGTTAAATATTAAATAAAGTTCATTATACACTACGTATAATTCGAAAAAAATGAAAATACTGCATGTAAATTATTCACCCCATGCAAAGTCTTCGAGATTGGAGTGGTAAGTACGGTACAGTAAATACAGTAACTTCGTACAGGGTATTTATTTGTGTCTATTTGTATGTCTATTTATGCCATTTTCACCGAATACATGCATTTAAAACACAAAAAAACATAACAACACATAAAAACATGTCATTCAAGAATGTGAAAAAAATTCGATATTATTAAATAATGATGTGATTATCCGGCGTTTTTTTTAAAATCCGGCTCCCCCTCGAAGGCACCGGATAATCGATGTAACGTTCCGGTACTACATTTGGCCTCTTCCATGCTGACCAAGTCTTGGAAGAGGCATAAGTACCGAAACGTTATTTATATACTATACATTTATAATTCACAATGTTGAGTGCCAAGGTTTGTGAAACTGTAAATGTGTTAATTGATCGTAAAGGTGCCTCATTGTTACCTGAGCTGTCTGTGTCTGCTTGTTGAAAACTGTTGCCTCCACAATGAACTCTTCTCCAAGAAATGTAACGCTGGGTACATTTATGGTGACTTGCAATGGTGAGGTCACTTCAAACTGACAACAATAAGCATACATTTTGATTTAAACTTTCGTGACTGCAGGAATTCATATTCTTTGGTTCTTTCGGTAAAGTCACATAGATGGAAAATATTAAAAGAAAAAGAAAAAAAAGTAAAAACATTTTTTTATAAAAACCAAAAACTCACGACGTTTCGATCGCAACACAAGCGTTCGTCATCAGATGGAGAGACATGGGCGGCAAGCCTCCAACTGCAACTGTTTATAAAGGCTTGAAATGGGTGCAGCCCAAGTGTCAGAAGGAGTGGGGACAAGTGCTACGGGGCAGCCTGAGTGGACGAGCCAAAGCTGTGAGTGGGTGGGGCACAAGAGCCGTGGAGCCAGCCCTGAGCGGCGAGCGGTGCAGTCCAAGTGTGTCAGCAGTATGTGCTGGGCAGGCAATGCAGGAGAAGACAAAGGGGGAGAGACAGGGAGAAAGAAGGGGCAGAGATAGTTGGAGAGAGAGGGGGAGAGAAAGGGGGGGGGGAGACAGGGGGCAGAGATAGGGGAGAGAGAGAGGAGGGGAGAGATAGGAGGGAGAGAGGGGATATTGATAGAGGGAGAGAGAGGGGGGAGATATATGAGGGGAGAGAGACGGGGAGTAGAGATATAAGGGGGAGAGAGAGGGGGGGGAGAGAGAAGGGATAGAGATATGGAGAAAGAGAGGGGGGAGAGATGGGGAGCATTGCGCCTTGCTCCACACATCCACGCTGCTGACGGTGGAGGTTGACACGAAATTACAAACGAAGTCATGACCTAAAGTGGTTGTTAACATCTTTCCAATGATTTCCGAGTTCATAACCGTCTTCTCATTTGAAATTGTCTGTCTATATATGTGGATGACTTCATGAACAAATCTTTGTTGATAGCCAGTAGGCTTGCAAAATACCATCGTTTTTGAGAAATACATTGTGTAAGCCAGCCAAATAAAAATAATGATCAGCCACAGCAGAAGTATTGGTCCTACCATGTTTGAAAATGATTTCTCTAAAACTATGGTACTTTGCAAGCCTGCTGGCTATCAACAAAGTTTCGTTCATGAAGCCATCCACATATATCGACACAGACACAAATTCAACCGATAAGATGGTTATAAACTCAGCAATCATTGGAAATATGTCATCAACCACTTTGGGTAATGACTTGATTTGTAATTTCTTGTCAACCTCCACCGTCAGCATTGTGGATGTGTGGAGCAAGGTGCAATACCCCCATCATCACTACCCCCTCTCTCTCCCCATCTCTCTCTCTCGGTGCATGCTGGGAAAAGGGTGTGTCTACCTGTGCTCCTGGAGAAACAGTACCTGCCAGTGAGGGCCTAGTTTCATGTACGCATCCTAGCCTCACCTAACTTCGTTTTTTGAACTTTCCAGCGACCTCTCTAAATCTCCGAGCACCATCGAGTGCTCATCTTCTCTCCTCCACCTCTGTGAGTGCCTCCAACAACACAGGGTCGTGCTGTCTCACTCCTCTTTATCTCTTTCTCCTCTCTTCACACTCGTTTACTCGGCAGGCCTGCGGCCTACTCACAGCTCTGCACCCATTACATTTTCCTCCCCCCTCTGTTGCATCCTTCCTATTCTTCTGCTTTACTGCAAACATAAAAATCGCTCCTTTTTTTCTCACTCCTCTCCTCTCTGCTCTGTTCTCCACCTCTCTCTGCACTGCTGCTCCCCTGCCCCCCCCAGCACCCGTCACGCCACGGGACGCTCGTGACAACACCTGTTCACTGCCCCCCTCTCTCCTGTCTCCACCCTGCGCCCCCACTCTTATTTCCCACCCATCTCTTCTTGTCTTGTTCTCTCCTTTCATTCCTGCAGCTAACGAAGGTTATTTATTTGTTTATTGAACTATTTATTTATTTCGGCAATGCCACGCCATGCTGTTCCGGAGGTTCCTGAAACCCCCCAACACGGACTGTTCTGCTTCCCGCCTCCTGAGATAAAGGTGGACGACGTGATAGAAGCGAAACATCATCGCTGCGGCCCCCATGAACCGTGGCTACGTGGTCCTCTTCACCAACGCGGAGATGGTGGCACGTGTCATCGCCACGGGGCTCACTTTCAAGGGGGAGATATTTGTGCAATGCACACCTCTCTCCTCCCCCGCGCGAAAAGTGCTCATCTCCAACCCACCACCTTTCCTCAAAACTGCCGACCTACAACGAGATCTTGAGCGGTTCGGCAAAGTTGTGTCCCGAATAATTATGCTGCCCTTGCGCACACGGGACCCAGAAATGGCGCACGTCTTGTCGTTTAAGAGACAAACTTTCATGATTTTAAACGGCAACAACACGGAACTCAACGTGAACTTTAAGTACACTTCGGAAGAATACACCTACACCGTGTACGTGTCCACCGCGTTGCCACGCTGCTATGTGTACGGTGGCTTCGGCCATGCCCGTGCAAACTGCACGGGGAAACCAAAAGGGAAAAACATGCAGCCTGCAGTAAACGCCACGCAACAGCAGCAGCAGCGCCAGCAGCAACAGCAGCAGCGCCAGCAGCAACAGCAGCCACAACAGCCTCAGCAGCGCCGGCAAAAGCAGCTACAGCAGCAGTCGCCGCAGCCCGCGCAGCAGCAGCAACAGCAGGAGCAGCAGCAGCCGCAGCAGCAACCGCAGAAGAAGCGGCAGCAGCCACAGCAGCAGCAGCCACCACTGCACGAGTGCCAGCTGTTGCAACAGCAGGACGCTGAAGCGGCGGCCGGTTGTACAAAGCCGCCCACCGATGACGAGGATGCCGAGGGCTTCACCCTTGTCACCTCCCGCAAGCGCAGGGTAAAGCCCACCCTCGGCGGAGGAGGCCACGCGGCCCCTAACCCTAAGCGCGTGGCCACCGCAGATCACGAGCCCTACCCAAAACTCGCAGAGCAGGACGACCAACCGCCCCCCTTGAGCGCCATCCCAGACGCCGTTGCAGGGGGTCAATATGAAGACATGCTCGATGACGACCCGCCTGAGGACAGCACGGTGGGACAAGGGCCGCCAACACCCCCGCTGAACACCGCCACAGCATCCTCAGAGCAAGAGGAACCACCAGACGGTGCGGCGCCTGAAGGCACCACACTGCAGGAAGGCGAGGAAGGCCGGCTCACCTCACCCGAAAGAAGAGCAAAAGACCCTCCACTACCAGAGGACAGCCACCCTCTTCCTAATGAGGCCCTGCCATCGCCAACGGCAAACGAGGCTTTTGCCGAGTCACAGTATCACGAGCTGGAGAACTCGGACGACGAGGTGTCAGAGACCGAAGGAGAAGACACCATGAGTGAGTCCAGCTACTCACAAGTCAACAGCAAGTTCGATTGCACACCTGGGGGCATCCAAAACTTCCTCGAGAAAACTTTCAGGAAGCGTAAAGTTAAGGTCAGGGCCCATTTCACTGACCTCACCGCTTTCCTCAAAGCGTCCCAACAAATTTGCCGTAACAGCGACAGTTTGGGTTTCTCGGCTCAGGAATGCTACCGGCTAAAAGCGTTCATGTGCAAGGCGAAGAAGGAGCTTTTCTGCCCAGAAGTAACCCAACCTCCCGCAACTACTGTTAACACTACCACCATCACCACCACAAAACTACATGATGGCTTCAGCTATTAAGGTTGCTAGTCTGAACTGTAACAGCGCTCGCAGTGACAAGAGGTGGGACCAGATCTGCCGCTTGGTCAGGGAACACAAAGCAGATGTGACTCTCCTCCAGGAAACCCACCTCGACGCCACTCTGGAGGCCCAACGCCAGCCTTTCCTAGGTGGCCGGGCCTTCTTCAGTCATGCCGAGGACAACCTCGCCGGCGTGGCAATTGTGCTCAGTTCGCGGTTTGCACCAGAGAATGTCTCCTTCAAAGAAATCGTCAAAGGTCACTTGATTTCTGTGGAATTCGTCCTGAATAAATCCAGCCTCAGGTGCTTTAACGTGTACGCGCCGAGCAAGGCCCCCGAGAGGAAGCTCTTCTTCGGCGCTCTGCGGGACGCACTCGCGACAGACGACGTGGACGACGTGCTCACCGTCGTGGGGGGAGACTTTAACTGCACCCGGCTCTCGACCGCAACACTGCCGAACCTCACCCTGAATCCGCACGGCCGCTAGCTGACCTCGTGCGGAGACTGGATCTGCGTGACGTGTGGCGACTACAGCATCCAGCCCAGCGGCAGTACTCCTGGTGCCGCTGCAGCTCTCAAGGCAGGATAAGCCTTGCCAGGCTCGACCGACTGTACGTCAACGCCAGCAGCGTTAACCTGCTCGGGGACAGCAAAATCGTACCCTCCGGTTTTTCAGATCACCACCTGGTCTCTGTGCTGCTGCGAATTCCCAGAGCGGAGCAACACAGCGCCTACTGGAGACTCAACGTACAGCTGCTTGATGACACCGACTTCAGAGAAACCTTCAACGCCTTTTGGACTCAGTGGCTGCCTGCCAAAGGAAGCTTCAGCTCCCACCAACTATGGTGGGACAACACAAAGGCGCAGGTCAGGGTTCTCTGTCAGCAGTTCATGAGCCAGCATGCCGCCGCCAAGAACGAGGTGGCGCCAACTGCAAAACGAGCTGCTGGCACTCGAGGCAGAGCTAAGCTCATCCCACGACACGCAGCAGGGTGAGACGTTACTGGAGAAGCAGCGGCTTTTCAGGTCCATCACAGACGAGCAGGCACATCGTGCTTTTGTGCACAAAAAGATGCAGCACCTGTCGCAGATGGACTCTCCCTCTAAGTTTTTCTTCCGCTTAAACAAAACACCGGCCAACACCACAAAAATTTCCAGTTTGCGAACCCCAGATGGACAAACAGCAACATCTGAGAGCGAGATCGCCAAGACCGCCAGGGATTTCTACTCACAACTTTTCGCCGCCGAAACCGTCACACGGCGGGGCTGTCCGGGAGCTACTGGACGGGGGCCCTACTTTAGGAGTCCCCGAGCGGGATCGTCTGGACAGCACCGTCACCATGCAGCAGGAGCTCCACGCCGCTGTGAAAGGGCTCGTAGCTGGTAAAGCTCCCGGGGATTGACG